TACTATGATCTAAAATTAAAAATGGTGACATTATAATATGAAGATGCTAGAAGAGCTCACGCAGTCTTACATTCCGTTTCAGATTCTGTTGATACTTAAAACATACATTTTTACTTAGTACACCCTTCTGTCCATGTCAGAAACCGAGCACAAGCTTTGGATGTGGTTTAAATTGGCCATAAAATTACAGTATCTGAGAGTACCTGGCAACAATTTGTGGAGTATAGGGAAGAGTGGTTCAGCTTTCTGTTTAATGCATTAAAATCCAAACCCTTTTCCTCTGCTCTTTTCAAAGGGGGCCAAGAAAAGGAGAATCAGTTCCTGCTAGTGTAGGAACACCAAGATCTCCTTACTCAGCTCCTTTTTATGGGAAGCTTTCCTTCAAATCCTTTTCCTTATCAGATAACTTTTCCTTATTCCCTTCCATCCATACCACATACCTGAATTTGATAGCTGCACAAGTTTTACATTATTACGTAAGAACGGCTATACTGGGTCAGACCAAAGGTCCACCTAACTCAGTAACCTGTCTGCTGACAGTGGCTAATATAGATGCCCCAGAGAGAGGGAACACAACAGGTAATCATCATGTGATCCTTCTCCTGTCATCCATTTCCAGACAAACAGAGGCTAGGGACACCATTCCTGCCAATCCTGGCTAATAGCCATCGATGGCCCTAACCTCCATGATTCTATCTAGCTCTTTTTTCAACCCTGTTAAAGTCCTAGCCTTCACCACATCCTCTGGGCAAGGAGTCCCAGAGGTTGTCTGTGCGCTGAATGAAGGAAACCTTCCTCTTCTTTTAAACTTGATGCCTATTTATTAATTTCATTTGGTGACCCATAGTTCTTGTATTGTGTGAACAAGTAAATAACTTTTCCTTATTCACTTTTTCCACACCGTTCATGATTTTATAGACCTCGATTATATCCCCCCTTCATCTCCTCTTTTCTAAGCTGAAAAGTCCAAGTCTTTTTAATCTCTCTTCATATGGGACCTGTTCCAAACCCCCAATCATTTTTGTTGCCCTTTTCTGAACCTTTTCCAATGCCAATATATCTTTTTAAGATGGGGCAGCCACATCTGTATGCAGTATTCAAGATGTGGGTGTAGCATGGTTTTATAGAGAGGCAATAAGATATTCTCTGCCTTATTCTCTGTCCCTTTTTAAATGATTTCTAACATCTATTTGCTTTTTTGACTGCCACTGCACAGAATGGATGTTTTCAGTGAACTATCCACAATGACTCCAAGAGCGCTCTTGAGTAGTTATAGCTAAATTAGTCCCCATCATATTGTATTGTAAAGTTGCCAACTGTACATACCACTTAACCTCACTATTCCGCTGCACTGAGTCCTAGACCAGCTGTTGTGGAAACAAACACCATCCTATGTTAGCCAGTCTGGCAGGGAGAAGAAAATTTTGTTTCCCATATTTCCCTCCCCTCCTCCCCCAAGGAAAAGAAACTACTATTATAATACACAGAGTGGATCCAATGGGGAACCTTTTATTTTTATTTTTTATTAACCAAGCGTATAATTGGGGGCTGCCAGCCTAATCTTGGTACAGAAGTTTTCTACCAGTCTGCATAGATTCTAAATCTCTCTCCATTTTTCCAGACAACATGAAGAGCAGTACAGTGACCTAGTCCTGACCTAGCCCCAACTGTTTCTTTCCTTTCCTGTTCATGTTTGAAATCTTTCCCACATGCTGTAAGGGAGTCTGAAAAGGGGCAACACCCCTCTTCTTCAAGCTAGCCGGATGAAAACCTACCACATAAAGGTTGCGGTCGGCATATCAAATGGATATTGTCCACAACTTAGTGGATAATGTAGTTAGGTGACCACATGGCTGTCGAATGTAAGAAAAAGGACAGTTTTTAATCTAGATGTTGTTCATGTGTTTAGACCTGCACAGTCCACTATGATGGAAGTTAGTTCTCATCTCCCACTTCTGACTGACTTCATATTCATTCTTCTAGATTACTACTGCACCATATTCTGATCCTTTCTTATACATGCTTCACCTGAAAGAGCAGTTTTAGACCTACTGATCTCCAAAAACATTTGCATTGAAGTGAGAATTTTCTTTGACTGCTAAGAACTTCAAATGACCTAGATTTGTAATAATCAGAACACTTGGTTTTCTTTTAAAGATAGAGGATTCTGTATGCTGAATCTACTTTCGTGCTTGTGGTAGGGGGGGAGTCACTTGTAGCCTGGCTTGCCACTTTTACTACACCTCTGTGGACATCTGTATTTTTTCTAATTGACAACATTGTTTGAAAAATGCTGTATTGCTGATTATAGCATACTGACTTCACAGATTGTAGTTCCTTAGGCCAATAAACATTGAAGAGAGCAAACACAAAATCTCTGATTCTGAGTGCTTTACTTTATCATGAACCCTAAATTCCTCTGGCCACAGATTTGATCTTCCAGCTTGAGAGTCTAAGCCATGAATATGGGAACCGTTTGGAGGTGGTCTAACATTCTTTGCAAATTTCTGAATACTTCTAGAGCAAGCAAGAGGATTCAGGGAAAAATTATTTGTGGTACCTTCACCTAAATGTCCTCAGAATCAGTTGGAGAAATATAACCTCTTGTGGATGGCCCCTGAGGGATTAAATCCTGTTTACCTACAGATTCATTTTTCTGTCCTTGGGGGTTTTAATCAGACTTCTAGCAGTAGACAGTTTACACCCCCATGGATCCTATTTGTTTATTTTGTCAGTGTTGCACAGGGGAGACTAGTAGAAACATGGAACTGTAAACCTTGTTCTTCAGATTTTTAAAATTCCCTTAGTGCCTTTTAGGCCATATTTCAATATAGCAGTTTAGTTCCATTATAAGGGTAAATGAGTTGGAGCTCTGTCTCGTAAATCGTCATCAATTGTTCTGTGGAAGGTTATATAAGGGCATGACCTGAATGCATGCCCTGCATGCATGCATGGACTGACAAATAAGAGTTGAAACGAAAGCCATTTTTTTTCCCTAGACTCTTAAGTTTGAGATCCCTCTTCTTGGGGATAAGATTAAATGACACTCTGGTTTTCATGGTTGGTATGTAAGACCCCATCTTGGATAAACTCTTTCCAGAATACACTTTAGTGCAGTGTTTCTCCACATTTTTTTTTAATAAAGTACACCTTTTTAAAAAAAGAAAAAAAGTACCCCCAGTACCTTGGTCTTACAGTTTTCAGACGCACACAATTTTTTTCTACCATTGTAACACATTTGTTTAAACAGCTTAATCATAGCCAGGCGGGCAATGAAATTTTTGGGTGTAAAAAGTACAAAAATAATAAAGCGCTGTTAAAACTTAACAAAAATTCCGTTTTCTCCAAATTTCAGTTAGTCTTCTTTTGAGTACCCTTAAGGGTACTCGTACCACTGGTTGGGAAACACTGCTTTAGTGTATTAAAACTTTGGACTTAAAAGCAAGACTTTGTCCAATTAAACTTGCAGTCAGGCCATTTGAAATTTTGCAGTTCCATTATCAAATACTAGAAAATTGATATTTCTTTTTCTTTCATCTATCTGAGATCTGAACAAAGCAAGTAAATAAAATTAAAACTATAAAAATCAGTTTTAATTTTTCTTTGAGGGGTTTGCTGTTTTGTATCTGTTCTTTTTGTAGGATTTGGCTTTTCATTGCTCACTGCTTCCCATTGGTAATGGCAAAACCGGGGGATGAAAAGGAAAATTAGCTTGTATACCTGTAACTTTTATTTCTCATAATTGAACAAACCCTTTGCTGTGGAACAGGCCTTCTTTGTGCAGCAGGTTGTTTATCTGCCTGATCTTCACAAACTTAATTTTTTTCTGAAATGGTCTATAGCTTCAGTTTAAAATCTAACTTTCTGAAGTTCTTGCATTTTGCTGCAGCAGTCCAGCAGAGGGGAGCCTAATCCTGTGTGAAATCAGTGGGTCTTATCACATGACTGATTTCCAGCTCAGATAGTGTATTCTGTTCTGAGATTCAAAGAGCACAGCAAACCATTTCTCATTTGCAATTCACCCGTCAAATTCCAAAATAGCATATAGCTGAAAACTTTCTCTTTTTGGCTGAGGAATATTTTAAAAATATAATTATTCAAACAGTAAGAGTCATGATGCTATGAAGCACTTTGTGCCCCAAAATGACTTTTTAGAAATAAAGATTTCTGTAAAACTTTTAAATTAGAAAAATGAATGAAATTTGTTTGAATTCAAATGTTCCTCTACTTTTTCCAACCCATGAGAATCAGAAAATCAACAGGTCTGAATTGATTAAAACAGAAGACCAACCAGCGTGATTACTGAAAAATCAAGGTTAATATCAATCAAATGTTGAAATATCAAATACAAATTATTATTAACTTCTGTTTACGACTTGTATACATTGATTTCTCCACATAGTCCCCTCCCAAATGCCAATCTGTATTATTTACACCTGTAGACCAGGAGTGGGCAGTAGTTTTTAATGGGAGGCCTCTCCAAGATTTTGGCAAGTGCTCAAGGGCTGCATTTCTAACAAGGGGTTTTGGGGTAGGAGACTGGTGTGCAGGAGGGGGTATGGAGTCTGACAGGGAGTTTGGGTGAAGGAGGGGGTTGTGATCTGGGGCAGAGACTTGGGATGCAGAGTCCAGAAGGGGGTATGGGAGAGGGTGCAGAGTCTGGGAGGGAGTTGTGACCTGGGGGAAAGGTGAAAAGAGTTTGGGTGGTGGCTGGGGGAAGATATTTGGCGGGGGGGGGAAGAAAGGGGAGAGCAGTGGTGGCCCGTCAATACAGGCCAACTAGGCGGTCGCTTGGGAGCCAAGATAAACGGCTGTTGAGGGCTTTGGAGGCGGGAGCGCCGATCGCTTCCCATTGCATGTTACGCCTAGGGTGCCAGTTGCCGGCAGCTCATCTAGGGCTGCTCCTGGGGGAGAGCAGGGGCACCAGAGGCAGGCTCTGGCTGGGAGGCACTTACCTAGTCAGCAGCCCTGCAGGAACCAAAAGGCTGCAGTTGCAAGCTGCTCCATGTGGTGCTGCTCCAGGCAGGTTGGGGGAGGAGAGAGGGAGGAGGCTCCATTGGCTGCCCCTGCTGCCAGCAAAATATTTCAGCTGCTATTGGTGAGAAACTGGGCAATGGGAGCTGAGAGATTTTGCTGCAGGTGGGGCAGAGCACAAAGCTTCCCTCCTCGCTCCCAGAATAGAGCCGCATCTGGCCCACTGGCAGCCTCTTGCCCATGCTTGTTGTAGACATTAGTAAAAATAACTTCACCTCCCTGGAACTTTAGGACTTACCTTTTGTATGCATAACCTGTTTAGATCTTAATTTTGTCATTCTCCTTTTTAGAAGTGAGTTTTCCTTCTTACCCACCCTTCTCCCCCTTGTCTAGCATAACTGATTGAGTTTTTTTGTTAAGTGGTTTTCCATGACTTATCTGAATCTAATAAACGAAAATACACTCTCAAAGTATCAAAATTAACTTCTTAGTCCAAAGTCTCTTAGCTCACAGACTATATGGTAGGTACTTGATTTTGATTATAATTTTTAAAATTTCAGGCACAGATTGTTCTGCTGGTGATCCTGCTATTAGCTATTGGTGACTTTATCATAGGAACATTTATTCCACTGGATAGCAAGACGGTTAAAGGTTTCTTTGGTTATAAAGGTATGCAACAGCATTGAATATCTTGAATAAAAATAACTTAACAGAAAAATGAATTAAAACGCACTGTTAAATGAAACTTAGTTCTGTTATTGTACTCTTAGTACTTCAGTATTGCAAAGTGAGAGTGCTAACGTCCAAAAAGTTTAATAGTGGGTTATCCCAGCTTTTTAAATTCCTTCATACACTTTATACATTCCTAAAACTTCTTTAAGCCTGGTGGTTTTTTTTCACTGACTTCATTTAAATTGTATTCACTCTGGCATTCATTGGGCATTTTATTTTTATCATTACTTTAAGAAATTTATCTGTTCTACTTTGTTGGTTTTATTATTTTGAGGCTGCTTTCGAAAGACATTGTAAAGGTTTCTAAGTGTAAAATATTGCCATTTCAGATATTTCTGTAATTTATATGCAACTATGATCTTGGGCTCAGTTTAGCTTGGTTGTTGGTGTGTTTTTGTTGTTTTCCCATAACTACTTTGGGTAGAATTGGTAAATGTTGAGAGTGTATACAAACACTGTATGGAATAATACATTTTAAAAATTCCTTTCTTTTTCAGCTGAAATATTTTCTGAGAATTTTGGACCAGATTTCCGAGAAGGTGAAACTTTCTTTACAGTATTTGCTATTTTCTTCCCTGCTGCAACTGGCATTCTGGCTGGTGCAAATATCTCAGGTGATCTTGCAGTAAGTAATTTGTTTTCATATTACTGCTTTAATGTACAGATTGCATATTTACTTGTACTGCAAGCATTCATTTAAATGTTTCTTTCAGGATCCTCAATCAGCCATACCTAAAGGAACACTGTTGGCCATCTTAATTACCACATTGGTTTACATAGGAATTGCAGTATCTGTAGGTAAATAGTTGTTTTTTTAATTATTAATTTCTGAGGTATGCTTTGATATTTGTTTAGAACATGTATTGTTATGTTTTTAGCTTTATACCTATAACTTTTTTGGAGGAAATTCACCCAGATTAGACTGATGTTTGGAATAATTCTCAAAAAAGCTCCCCCTCCTCTGCATATGCAGAGCAGACCTTGTCCTTAATTATTTGAACTTTATCTGCACTGGGCATGCTTCAAAGCTTCATTGAGATGCTACTCTTTATTCTTTCTCTTTTACCCTCTTCCACAAATCCTTTAATCTCTAGGGTCTACTGGGCTGGGAGTCTGGAGACCGTGACTTCAGATGCCTTTTCTGTTTATTGGCCTTAATATTTCTGATTATTTTGCAACCCTCAGTATTAAACATATGGTGACTTTGGGCAGGGGGGAAAATGTTACTCACATGGTAGACGCATTTCCTTATCCACATGGCCTTTTAGAATGACTATGTCAAATCTGACTACTGCTGCTCTAACCTCCAAGACATGACTTCCTTTCCATAGCTAAGACTCTTGCTGCCCATCCATGATATGGCCCTTTTTACTTAGACAACATCTTCGTGACTAGCACATATCTGTGTAACTCACTGCCAAATTATTGTAGCTTTATTGTGCCTATTCCACATAAAGAACCCTTTTGATTATGTGACGGAAAGGGTGTAAGTCAATAAAGGTCTGGCTAAACTGCAATTTAAAATTGGTGGTAGCAAGACTCAGTGCCTGATTATCCAGATTCAGATTTGCACTATGATGCTAAAAAACAAACAGTGTAAATGTTGTGACTTGGGCTGGAGCTCTGACTCTGAAGCCCATCTCCCTCCTTGGGCTTCAGATCCCAAGCTCTATCCTGAGCCTGAATGTCGGCATTGCTGTTTTTAGCGGCATGCCGCAAGTCTGAGTCTGTAGAGCTGTGATCTGAGACATGCTAATGCTAGTTTTAAAATAGCATAGGCATACCTTAAGGATCAAATGATAATGGAATTCATGTTTATCTGTTCTCAAACTTGGGAAGCTTAATACAAGACTTACTTTAAAGGGATGTTGTGTTTGCAG